CCGGCAGTTGTCATTCTCCTTGCAACACTGTTGCTTTCCATCTTAATGTTCATGAACCATCAGCAAGATGGCCTCCTGTGGAAGTCTTCAATCCTACCGCTTTTGTTTCACGGAGTCGAAGGGCCGCTCGCTGAAAACGAGTCTGTACAAAGAGTGGGGCAAATGGAAGCTGTGGCGAGAAAAACGAATGTTAAGCTGAGTGAAAGAATGCAAGGGGGAAAGCGGTTTGAGATAGATATGACGGAAGCTTGAAAACCGAAATCTCCACTTGCTAACCTTCCGATAAGGTCGAGGATCCACAGTAGATCCTAAGACTTTACAGGTTCGCGAGCGGCACGATATTGGTTCCTGCAGAATTTATTGTTGATCTCTTGGCGTTGTGGCGTTGTGCCTTGCTTTCCCCGCAGATTCGGCCCAGCCAGTGCGGAGAAGACTGGGATAGGAATTCAAGGCCGTCTCGGCGAACTCGACCAACAACAACCGAGATTAATCCGTACGAATACAATCTCGACGTGCATATAGATATTTCCTCGAGCTTCGTAGAGATATCGGTCGATAAGTACGGACTGACGATCTCCGTGGCGTGACGGTAAAAAGTTCCCAATCCCGTCTATATAAACTGCTGGCGGAAGGATGTGAAGATTCAAAGCACGACAATTCAGCCAGTTCAACATGCAGACCATCTTCAAACTCGCCACAGCAACACTGCTCACTTTTTACTTGGGTGGAGTTGAAGCTAGCCCTGCTGCCGGACGTAAGTTTATTAGTATGTGCCATTGGAAAGCGTACTGAATTTTTTAGACCTTCGATTCCCAAGACAGGAGACAACATCTTCAGTCCCCGATGCAACAACGACGTCGTCTTCATTGACCAGTGCTGTGACAACCTCGTCCTTAGCGACGAGTGCAGAGACAACATCTTCACTGGCCAGTGCAACATCGACATCTTCAGCCGCTCCGACATCCTCAGTATCTCCCAACGGCAAATGTGATAACAACAATGGAGGCTACACATGTAAAGGCTCTGTATTTGGTAACTGTTGCAGCGAAAGTGGCTGGTGCGGAGACACGGATGCTCACTGCGGTACCGGTCATGGATGCCAGCCGGAATTTGGAGATTGCACGCCCACCAACACCTCAGACCGGGGGTTTTGTGGAACAGGTACGGAATTCACATGCGTGGGTTCGGATCTTGGAGGTTGCTGTAGCCAATGGGGACAGTGCGGGACCGGCATCGAATACTGTGCTCAAGGATGGTAAGTTTGCAATCTTTTTTCGATTTCAGCGCTAAACATTGCTACAGCCAAAAGGATTTCTCATCTGATTGTCTGACAACGGATGTACCCTCATTGGACGGGTGGTGTGGAACGGACCGTGGTGGATATACCTGCGCTGGAGGACCCTATGATGGACAGTGCTGTTCAGCAGTTGGTGCTTGTGGAACTTCATCTGATCACTGCGGAACCGGCTGGTAAGTTTGATTAACGTCTTCAACAATTTAAGCTGACACTGTGTAGCCAAGTCGGATTCGGGAAATGCGATTAATTGATAATCTCTTTCGCAATGACAGATGGGCTCCGAAAGAAAAAGTGCTGCAATTTGTCCGTACTGTTGAGGGCGTTTGACTTTTTATTGTGATTACGATTGGATGGAAATGAGTTTTGTTGCACTGAGTGATGGCATCGTCATGTCAAATAATCTTTAGTAACTTAAGAAAATGTTTCATCAGCGCGTAATGGCTACGAAATGACAGAAAAGTCTGAAGAATGAAAAAGAATCCACGTCTGGAATTAGGTAGTATTTGCTAGTTCGTATTGAGTCTTGGAAACCTCGCCCCTTATAGTTACACTTCAACATCTAGCTTACATCAGCTACCAGCTTTCGACAGTGTCCTTCCCAGTCAAGTTCGGCTTGACCTGCTTCCCCTCAAGCCAGTCTTTGCACTTTGAGTACAGAATGTCGCGCTCCGGCCCATGGGAGTTCAAGTCCAACTTCGGCGGCGTGTCAATCTTATCTTCACACCATGCCAGGTAGCGGTAGCCACTGTATGTTGTTTAGTATAATTTCGTCTGCACACCACAGAGATCAAGACTTACCTCGGGTATTTCATGACCTCCGCCTCTGGGATATCGAAAGTCCGACCAGGGTGCACCGGAATCATCTTATCTTTGTCAAAGAGCAAAGTGTAGAAGCAAACTCCCCACTTGCCTTCCCTCTTCTCCAGCATGAAGAAAAAGCGGCAATCCGCTTCATTGTCCACCTCCACGCCGTTGAATGTGAAACGGCACGTAATGGTTACCTTCATCTTGCTTACAGCGCGGTTACCCTGGACATCAACAGTCTGCCCGATGAGGCGATGCATGATGTACATGAAGTTTTCACCCTTGGCAAAGCCGTGTTTGGATGCCTTGATGAATTCATCAATGTGACCCTGCTTCCAGCTGGTCGCAATGTAGGCATCGTCGTGAAACATGCTGCGATAATTCTCCCATTCGGCGGCATCCCGGTAAAGACCCCAGCCTTCGCAGATCTCGCGAATCTTCATCCGATCCAGCACGGCGGCATCATCGCCCGTGGCATTGTTGCGGGATGCTTTATCGGGACGGATTGACAGGGGTGGTTGCGTGGTTGGATACAAGTCTTTTGTGCCCAAGGTTGTCGTGCTACTGGTGGCGTAGACGGGGCGACTAATGGAGAGGAAGCGTGCAGTAGTGCCTGTTTGGATAACACACGGAGCGGAACGCGCGAGTGGACGTAATGCTTTCGTGCAGAACATGGTAGATAAAGAGGCAGGAAACTAAGTATGTGCTTGTAGAATAAAAGAGGTAACTGAGTTTGCTGAGAAACACAGCTGCTTCGCACTCTTTATAAGGAGTTCCGAGCATGACGTCCCCTCGACACTTACATCGCCGCGCTCAAATACCGACGTGACGCGTTCTCCAGCAGGTCCCTAGTGAGATCCTGAGCGTCGTTCCACCACGGCCCATACAGAGTCCGGTATACGGAGGAACGGAGCTTGAGATATACGCAACATGTGGTCTGAGGATCTACCGTTTCCGCAAAGCGCAGAGGAAGGTCACGTCTTTCGATGATGACGAAGCTGCAGGCTGCCGCTTATGTTATAGCTGAGTATTGAGACATCCAATGCAGAACTAGCGGACCAATGATATCATTCTTGTCTCTTCCATCATGCGGCAACGCCCTGCGTGCTGTCTCGTGGCTCGTTTATCTGCATCCCCCTTTCTCCTGAGATATGAGGAGATGATCAGTGATCGCGTCTCGATTTTCGCGCAATTCGTTGTCTAGACGGCATTGTGGAACTTGCTTTGCGTCTTCAGTCAATCTTCGGCAATGGGAGTCGGCATTGAACGAGCATGTGGGTCTGACGGAGTTAGAGGCGGTAAGTCGTCCGTGCAGTTTCTAACCGATTTCGGTAGGAGGTACATACCACCTAGTCTTCTTCAAGATGAACTCAACTTTATCAATGGATCTCAAACGTTTCTTCTTTAAATTTCCCTCTGTTCCTCTCCTCTACAGCCTCGCCTTTCATCAGCCCGTGGACGTAACAAGGCCCTATAAGCACGTAATGATCTTTTTGACGACGGAGTAGAAACGGAACTCCACCGCCGAATAAGATGCAAATGACATCATTTCTTATTAGCGTAGATGGCCCGATACCCAAGTACCCGTTAGGTGTGATGAAAAAGCGTCTTTGTGCACAACGAAGGAGTAGTACGTCTTCAAATCGCTCACGATTGCCGCCTTCGGCATGACACTTGATAATGTCTCTCAAAGCATTCCAGTCTTCTGAGCGCACATGGGAACTGCTAGGTTGGCTCCAAATGCTGTCAATGTACGCGCAGAAGTCACAAAAGCTTTGTTGAACCGGATCCTGAGCTGTTTGGGAATCCAAATGATCGCCAGTCGTTGTGACCATAAAGACGGCTCGCAATACTCCTAGCGGCTCAACCTCTAGAGAGGAGTGAAGTGCTAATTCCAACATTCTCAGGACAGAATGTATCCTCATCCCAGAGAGGAAGTCGTGCGCAAGGATTGCGACTAACTGGAGTTTTCTCTCTCTTGAGTTCTTGCCAACGGAGGTGGTGACGGCAAAGAAATGATGGAGCATCTTAAGAAAACCAGAGGCGCGTTCGCGCTGTAGTCGCATTCCTTCAGCCGTATTGAGATCCAGACGCCGGCCTATTGTATCCACTTTCAGGCCTCGTAATGATAGCACATTCTCACTCTCTGACCTTTCGAATTGCAATGCAGTTGCGCCTGCTGCTCGGTGGTGCATGAAAAAATCGTCTCTCCAAGACGGAGGATGCTCGTGGTTTTCCTCGTAGTAAAGGGAATTGAAGATGTTTTCTGTCCAGATACCCTCTTTCCAGTGCGGGATCCAGGACGGCACATCGCGTTTAGTAGCTTTTCGCTCCCGCCAGGAAAGGCCCTTGGCATTGTAAAGTGGCATGGTGAAGGAAATAATCGACGCCTTGTTGATAACAAAATCTCGAACTAATGCGCGGTATACATCCGTTGCCGAAGTACAGTAATCCGCTTTGGGAAGTTTAGGCCAACTGGGTACGCAACACATGCTTAGGATACCATAGGCTCGGTCCCGGGGATCCGAAGCTCTGAACATGTCGAAGGTCAATCTAAGCACCAAGGCAAAATCAAATCCTTCTACAGGTGTTCTGCTGCGGATCTCGGCAATCGATACGATGCAGGCTACCGAGCGAGGGACCAATCCTTTGAAAAAATATCCGTTGTAGAGTAACCACCGGGCAACTGACGCTAAGTTCATCCAAGGATAACTGATATCTCCGAAGAGTAGCAGTGGATCTCTCTGCGACACGACCACTTCCTGTACAACCCATATACGGTAGAACCATTGTCTGGAGAAAAGGCTTTTCAGTGCAAGCCAACTACTGTCCTCAGGATTAGGGAGTCCGTGTCCCTTATGTTCTTCGATGTTGAACTTTTTTCTTGGGATGTTTGTGCTTAGGTAGTTTGCGTTGGGCCAACCCTGGAGGACAATGTCGTGGATTTGGTATACCAGCTGGAAGGCGGAGTAAAGCGTCTTCTTTTCGTCCGCGCCTCCCCAGACGATGGTCCGGATTGCCTTGGAATAGATATCCTTCATCAGCTTAACCTGCATAAATCTTTCTTCATTGTCGTCTTGATTGATGCACACTTGATCAATCCAGACATATTTGTCGCTCAAGGTATCGGGTCGGTGGCTGTCATTTTGAATACGAAGTTTTCGAATATGACGGATACCAGACGCTAGACTCCGCGTTATGAGCAGCTCTTTTCCGTTGCAAAGAAGCGGCACAGTTTTTCGAGAACTACCCCAACAGTAGCTGAGCGCATAGTAGGAGTTTTCCCCTATCTCAGAGAAGCGCCTGGTGATTAACGTCCCGGAAAGGTCATTGTGGTTATCTAGCAGTAGCAGCCGGATTGTGCTGTCTGGATGAATACGGTCGTAGACAAATCTTTGGCCACGCATCGCCACAGGCCGATATGAAGCTGGGAAGGAAATTTTTAGATGGACTAGGAGCGGGAGGCTACGTTAGAGCCTCTTTGTATGATAGGTATGTAACTGGTGGCTTAGGGCCGCGGTGTAGCCAACCCAATTAGCTGGCACTACGTCTGCCTTTCGTATATGCACGGCTTGGTTAATTGGTCTCCAATAAGCGTGAGTCTGATGTTAAAGATGTTGGTTCATTCGCACGTGTTGAACGCCACAATGGTACAAAGCGGGGACGCTGATTCGGAGGCTTTCATTCCATCTATACCTAGATACAAAGCCTCTCTGGGGCCGAAATGAGGCCTTGGATATGGCGACTGTAGTGGAGGATCAGCTCGTCAAGTCCAAACTCGAAGACCAAAGAGTAAGGTAACAGCAAGATTGTGCAGCGTGCACGTTTTGGAAAGCATACGGAATATTACCTAGGGCGATTCAGCCTCGCTCTTTATTTTTGCGGGCTTTTTGGTGGTGGCGGTTATACTTGGGCGGAGTGCATGCAGCCAAAGGCTCTTTCACTCATCGCAGCCTGGAATCAGACTTTTCCGCGTCCGCCACCTGCGTTTTCAAGTTCGTCTGAGACCTCCGACGCATCGGTTCCAAAAACACGACCAATGTCCCCGCAGGCGCGGTCTTTATATCCGCTGCACTCGATTTTTTCACACCGAGAAGAGCATCCATCCAGGAGGTCTCTCCTCTTGGAACGGATTCAAAACAGATCTACCGCCGGGACTTGCGGCTGAAAGCAGCTCGTTAGTAGGGAAGAAACAGCACCAAGCCAAGCAAATGATGAATCAGATTGCCACCAAGTCGTGCGTCACAAGGCCTTACATTGAGATATGCCTGACGTATCAGGCTGAGAAGCAGCCCAAGCAACATTGACAGGGATTCATGCCATTGCATCTTCAACAAAGCCCCGCAATTGGCCACCAAGCCTGAGTGGTAGGATCCGAAACCTTGGCAATGCGAACCTGAAAGCCCGATGGCCAGCTGAAAGGCCCGATGATCATCAGTTGCAACGGCCTTTCCCTCCAGCAGGCTCATTTCCGCCTCATTTCCGCCCGCAGAATGCAAAGATGCGAAAGAAAGCGAGAGGAAAAAAGGGAAGAAGAAGAGAAGAAGAATAAATAGAATAGAGCGGGGGGGTTTATACTCGCGCTAGTGAGACACTTCCTTCCCTTTTCGGACATCCTTCCTTCTGCTCTTGTCGACAACCTCATCGGTGCGCCTTCCTTGCCACTTCCCTACTCTTGCCATCTACCCGCTCCGGAAGCGACTCTCCGATCGAGCTGGTAGACGTACGACGGGATGCGATGCCTGGAATTCATCTGCAGCCTTGACTCATCCTGGCTTTAAACGAGCCCATGCAGGCGGGACGGCATTACCCAGCAACCATGTCCGCCACACTGAGCTCCTCCCAGCTGGACGCGTACCTCGAGTACATTGCGCTCCCGGCGACGTATCTAACCGCGGTGCCGTACGAGAATCTGTCGCTGCACTACTATAAGCACGCGCGGAGCTCGCTCGACGTCCAGGTTCTATTCCGCAGGGCTGCAGAGCCACGGGCTCCCACTCGTCCCTGACCTTGTCACCCCTAACATCGGCACCCAGAAGATGCGTGTCGTCCGCGAGGGATCCCGCACCATCCAACCATGAATTCCCTTATATTCCCTAGAGCCGACTCGGCGGAAGCGCGCAACCGGCCGATGGAGGCGCTGGCACACGCACGCGCACATGGTTCGGCGGGGGTGGTGGGGGTGATGGCGATGGTCGTGTGGAAGTGGGGAGACGAGACGAGATGGATCTCGGATGGGAGTCAGAGATCAGATGGACGAATCAACTGCGGGGAGATAAGCGATAATATGAGTCAGGGCGTCAATAGCGGCTCGTGGGGCCCGCAAATCCGGGGAAACGTGGGAATAACTCAATCTACCCTTCTATTAGTCGCGTATTTAGAATCTTCATAGTCCGGAATCTCTCTCTAATAGTCAATCATAGACGGCGATTCTTACGTGAAAACGCCTACTACCTCCTTTAACCGTTACAAGGAACGAGGTATTTCTCCTCCTACATCATCTCCCTCCACCCGCTCACATCTTATCCAGGCACCTACGACGCCGAAACCGTCTACAATATCGTTAACACTACTAGCGTCTACTATATCTTCTTTATATCCTCGCCCGACGACCTATTCCCCGCTATCCTTTCTATAATCGCCTAGATCGGCTACTTCCCCGACTCGCAAGACGACGCCCCCTCCTACTACCTATATAGCTACGTCTCTAGCCGCCTAATAAAGCTAGGCGTAGACAGTATATCCTCTAGCGGTATCTCCGTCTACGTCGCCGCTACTAAGGTCGACGGCTTCCTCCTAGCCTTAACGCCCTTTAACTATAGCTATAACTACCGCTCTATTATACTATAGGGTACGGCTACTATCATCGACGACGACGCCGAGAAGATATAGGTTATAGAACTTATTACTAACTCGGTCGTACCTAGCCGCTAGGCTAATACGCGCGTCCCGCCTAATAAGCCGGAAATTACGTTAACGCGCGTTATAAAGGTATATATCGAGTACGATTGATTGATTGATTGATTGATTGATTCGTTTAACGTCTATATGCAGTCTGAGACTATGACGGACGGTTCTATCTAAAGAACTAACTAGGGGGGTGTAGAGTCAAGATAAAAGCAAGGTTATGCAAGGAATGGTTGGATCTGAGCCGGTGTATAATACGAAGGAAAGAAATAGGTGTTGAGAAGTAGTATTGGGTAAAGGAGTGGGTATCTTTTATAGAGTAAAAACCCTAGGGGAAAACCTCTATAAAAGATAGGGAAAAGAGGTAGAGGCTAGGGGAGGAGTAAAGAGAGAGAGTCTAGGGATAGGCTCGAAGAGGCTCGACTCGG